GACTTCAGCTCTAGGCAGCTCTTGGTCACATGACGACCACGTCACCAGCGAGCTCTGGCCCCCAATTTCCACTCCTATAAGCAGTGCGGCAGGCGCCAGCCTGCCCCGTACCTCCGCCTCCCCAATCACAATGGGTCCTGTCACTCTTTTCCTCTATAACAATAGCAGAAACCAGAAGTGGTCATGGCTCTCTTGTGTTTGAATTTTTCTTTCTCTAATTACAGGAAGGGACAGTATCTTTTCCTGGGTCTACCGTTTACTTATACTTCTTGGAGAAATGTCTTATCCTTTCCTTGGCTCTGAAACTGACCCTCCTCCCAAATTTCTACCCCTTCCCACATTCAGTCTCTGTATCAGAATTGCTGGGGTTAGGGGACTGGGGGTGCGGAAAAGGAAGCCCAAGTAGTAGTGAGGTTTTCATTAATATTTTTGATACATTTATGTTCTATGTCTACCTTCATTTTTTAGTGACTCAATCAACATTATTTTGTAATCAGAAAAAACAATAAAACTATGTCATTGGGAGAAAAAATAAAATAATTCATATAAATATATATATATATATATATATATATATATATATATATATATATATATATCAAGATTTCCCAGTTAATAAGGAGGCCTCATTGATTTGGTTAATTTGTGCTTCACTGAAAATATTTTCTTCTGACTGCACAGGACATAGCAGTTTTCAAACAGCATATTAAAATTTAAAAACATATCATTACAAACAAAACCAGAGTGCTTTCAATATGGTTTATAAATTGATGGATAACATGAATCTATAGTGAGGTGGTCAGTGTTTTAATTATGACCATTTTAGATAAGTGAACCACTATCCCTTTCTTCTTCCTGGCTGAACTCACAGTATTAGGTTGAGATCTTCATAGAAGACTGCTGGATGGCTTTCACTCTGGCTTCAAAGCACAGGCTTTATGTGGACCCCAAATTCAGATGAGTCATACATCTTCAGATGCACTTAACAAATTAGTAACCTCACAGATCAGCCTGCTTTCCATTCAAAGGTCTTTATTTAAAATCTATTCTGAAGTTTCATGGTGTAACCCATAAATCATCTAGAAATTAGAGAATTACCTATTATCCCATTGATGAAAATGAGACTAAATAGATGGACTTTTCATTTAATTATGACCGTGGTGTGATATCTCCGGTATCTGTCATTCATGTGCTGTGTCACCGTAACAGCAGCTAGTGCTCAGCATCTTCTAGTGGAGACAGTGCTGAGAGTCTGTGGGTGTCTGGAAATCACTGCAACACCCCTGAGATCCATGTCATTTTTTCCTCACAAAAAGCAGTTTACAGGATCCCAGGAGAAAGAGGCCTTTTCATTCCCTGCTTTCTGTTACAATTTCACTGCACCACCCATACAAGCCCCTCAGAATAATCCCAGAACTCAGGGACAAAGTATGCAGAAGTTAGTCCCCAGGCATCCAGCTGTCCCTGCTGGGGAGTCATATTCTAAATATAGACCCTTCAGGCAGCCTCTTTCTTAGAACATTAAAATATGACACTCCAGCAGGAAGCTCCTTGTGGGAGAGGCCCCTGTGGGGAGGAGGCCCTTTCAAGAGGTGAGCCAGGGAGGCCAGAGTGCCTTGTCAAGAAAATGTCACAACTTTCTGGTCTTCCTCAAACTTTTATAAGCCAAACTCACTCACCATCATACTCCATCTCTCTAAACCCCTACCTCATTTGTTTCGCCATCATTGCCTTATACTGTTCTTTTTTCTCACCCTTTATTATCCTAGACAAGTGAATCTGTTTGTGAAGCTGTACTAACAACTCAATTATTCCACTGTCCATCATTCAATTTCTCGCTAATAAATACTTATATAAGTGGCTTTTATTTGTTTTGAATATATGCATGAAAAAAGTTCTAAGGTGTATGTAAAGCTTAACAAAGCAAGGACACAAACTCCACTCTTAACCTCTCTTGATTAGAATAAAATAACCTCTCCCCTTTGGTATATTTTCTAATCGGTCTAATGTATAGCCCCTGACCACCATTTTCCAGTCTGTCAGACCTTTCCTGTTTGAATCCACTCTCTCTCTAAAACTTCTTAAACCCCATGGGAACGATTACCCTTTCAAATCTCTTATTTCTTTGTCATTTTTGATCTGCAATTCTTACCCCCTGAAACTGGGGACTAGCATTTAAAATCCACTTTGCTCTCCATTATACATTCACCAACAAATATTTATTTAAGGGCATGTTATTTGCCTAACATATCATTTCAAAAGCAAAAAAGGAAAATCCTTAAGCAATTCCTCAGACAAGCCTGTTCAAACTTCCCAAGCATGCAAAGAATATGGGAAGCCACTGTCAAAAGGAACCTTTTGGCTTAAATCAGTATGTGGTCATATGTGATGTGTAATTTATAAAGTATCGAAAACAAAAAAGGATCAGCAGATGGTAACACTAATGGAATGGTAGAGGGCGAGAAAAAAATACAAGATAGAAAGAAGAGTGCTATCTTAAAAAGCTATATTATTTTTTGTATTTTGTTATTTGTTTTTGTATCGTGTATTAGTTGATTTTGCTTGGTTGCAAGCAACAGAAACCTAACCGGGTTAATTTAAACAATGAGGGGATCCTGAAAACCAGGGTCAGTTCAGAGGGGTCTAGGTAGGAGGAACTGATAGTCTCTTCAGGATGCCATCATTCCACTGATTTTCAGGTCTTTTTTTTATCACTGTTCAAGATTTAAATTTTAGTAAGAGAGTATTGAGTTAGTTTATTTTGGGTACGATGCTCGCTCTTGCTGGGGAAAATGACAGGGTTATGTAAAATGTAAAGTGGACTTCCTTTCTTTTCCCAGAGAGAATTTAAACTGTTTCAGATGTTGTTGATTTGCAGGAGCCCTTTAGCTACTTTGGATATTAACCCATTGTCCACCTGCGACTGAGGTGCTGGGGGCCTATTTGCCACAGCATATCTTAGTTGTAATTTTCAAATTAATTAAACATTAGAGAGGTATAGTTTTGAAATGGTGATGAACAAGGTTGTCTTCTAAGCCAAAGCTATCTGGCTTCCCTGACAGAATTCCATAGAGTTGCATCTACAGTTCAGGGTCTTGTCCTCTTGTTGCATGATCAACCCCTGATTTTGTCTTAAGCTGAGGGCAGATGCCTCTGTGAAGCAAAGACCCCCATTTATAGAAACTTATATATAAATCTAGACCTGGATGCCCAAACCCGTGGATCTCTGCATTCTCTCCCTGTAAGTAGGCCACAAGGGAAGCTAAGTCTCAAAAGAGTTACAACTGAGTACTTTACACTGAGAACTACATCTGTCAGTGGTACTGGACGTTTCTGTCCATTTTACCAGTCCATTCTTTTCCTTTAGGCAAGCTACTACTTTGGAAGCCAGGACTTCAGAAAGTTGCTTGGTGAGCCTGCATGTAGAGCAAGGACGTTGGTTCACCTTAAGAAGTGGCTTTCAGCTAAGGAAGCTTGAAGTACTCTTATGCATCATGGTGATGGGTTTGCCAAGGAAAGCTAAATCTTAGCCAAGACTCCCACTTCTCCAGACAGTGCTTTGGTGGGAACTACTAGCACTTTCCTCTGACTTTCTCTTTCAGATATTCCTATGCTTAAATAAGCCCCTTCACTGCACATGCTCTTTCTCTAATGACTTCACTCCTGTTTACCAAATTTCAGTCATTTCTTAGTACTGCCTCCTAGAAATTACATTGATATGAATTTTTCTGGAGTTTTGTCTGTTCCCACATTTTCAAGTCTCTGAACTCCCACATTGTCTGAGGATTTAAAAAGTTATACTCAGAAAATAAACTTACATCCAAACTATTAGGGAATGTCCCACTGTAGACCTCATGTTTTGACATGATTTTATTACTTTTCCCACTATAAAAAAGTTCAGTTGTTGCTGACAGGTGGACCACTGAGTTCATCAAAAGAGTTGGTGAAATGGTTTTGCACTAATTGCTGGACTCAAGTTCAGCCAATTTTGTCTTGGTCTCAGTGTTCCTCTAACAGCAATTTCATTTAAAGATAATATTATCTATTTGTGACCAAATATATTTCATAATGTTCTTTGTATGTCACTCACTTTGTCAGTATGCATGCCTCCTTATCCAACAGATATCCACTATGCAGTTGTGGTTTCTACTCAACATTTTCTGTGTTACTGGCTTCTGAGGGCTCCTTGCCTCTTCCTTGCTAACTGATTCAAGTGGAAGTCTGTGGCTCTCCTGTTTAGAAGACTGGCCTAATCAGAAGATTTATGCATTCTCAGACACACTGATTAGCTCATTCAGGGTTGTGTTATCTGCTAGGCTCCAGAAGACATTAAGATTGCTTTTATTGAAGTGTGTAACATTCCCCATAAATGAGAAAATGTGGGATTTTGGAGGCCATCCACCCAACTTAACTCTCCAATTCCAACTTTTTTTTCCTGAAATGAAAATAACTTTATAGTCATTTCTTTTCTCATAAAAAGAATGCAGGCTGGGGGCGGGAGACAGCAGGAGAAAAAGAACAAAAAAAAAGTATTAAGAAAGTAAAAAACCACACTCACACTCCAGGTATCCTTTTCTGATTTCTTCCTTTCTTCCTCTTTCTTTCTTTCTTTCTTTCTTTCTTTCTTGCCTTCTTTCTTTCTTTCTTTCTTTCTTTCTTTCTTCTCTTTCTTTCTTTCTTTTTCTTGTCTTTTCAAATCTTGGGCTAGATTTCAGAGGAAAAATACATTAATGCTGGGAGGAGGGGAGGTGGAAGGAGAGTTTGAGGTCCCAGGAGCCTAGGGAAGGAAGAGGCAATTTTTCAAAAGGTGCAAGTAGCTAGTAGCCCCAGGGGAAGATTCTCTCCCTTTCTTTTAATCGGAGAAAGGCAAACACAAATACGGGTTGATGGGATTAGCAAAGAAATAGTAACAAGGCCTGGCATGGGGGAGGGAATGTAAGGGGGCGGGTCCTCTTCTGCCGCACTGCTGGTGGGAGGGGAAATTGGGGACCAGAGTTGGTGGATGACGTAGCTCTCACGTGACCAAGAGCTGACGTGTGCAGAAGTCCTTCTTGCTCTGGTCGTTGTTCCCGTCTGAGTACCAGCTCCCCATTGCCCTGAGGGCGAGCGAGCCTGCGGCAAAGGGAAGAAGGAGGAGAAGGGAACTGTCCTGGATCCCTGCAGGTTAGTGCCTGGGAGATTCCATAAAGTGGGGGTGTTCGAGGGCATAGGGCGGAGACCGTCGCGGGTCCTGAGGCGCCTCCGTCGTCTCTCCCACTCGCCGCCGGCTTTCCAAGACATCTGTCCTGCCTGCAGCCCATTTTGATGCTGCGAAATGGTGAGCAGGGGGTGTTTGGGGAGCAGCCCAGAAATCGAGAGGTGGGAATCTGCTATGAGCTGAGGCCGTAATCCGGAAAGAGAGCTGTGGCCTGGGTGTTGGCCCCCAGTGCTCCAGGGCAGTTCTGGCAGGGAAAGCCTGGACATGGGGGCGGGGTGGGGGATGGGGGTGGGAGTGCAACGTGATGTGTCAGCAGAACCCTGAGAGGGGTAATAGGGATGGGAAACCGTTGACAGCCAGGCCTCCGAATTAGGAAAGAGTTTCATGTTCTGGGGACCGGTCCGTCCACCAAGCATTCGGTAGCGGCTGTTTCTAGTCTTTCTGACTGTGGCTGTGTCTTCCTGACCGTGGCTCTGTGTTTAGTGGGTCCGATCCTCTCCCAGTTGCCAGCCTTTCCATAGTTTGCGGCACTACGCCAGGCAAGTGAAGAGGAAGGAAATTAACCCTGATCAGTGAAGGTCGATTTGAGGGTAAGACCATCTGGGGACTCTAAGAGGGACGGTGGGGGGCTGAGGGGTGGGAGAAACCAGAGATGGCAATAATATGTTAGGTCTGAGTCTGAGTGTGTTTATCTCACTCTTGGGACTGTGGCGAAATGGCATGCAGAGTGTGTGTGTGTGTGTGTGTGTGTGTGTGTGTGTGTGTGTGTCAGGAGGATGGGGTTGGGGGAGAATGACAGAAGGGAAACCTATCAGGTAGTTTGTTCATAATCCTTCTCTTTCAACAGTAGTCTTCATGTTTTCTATCTGTCATCCTGCAGGTCTGCTGTAGCAGGTGGCTCCACTTGAAGCAAGGGAGGAAGTTTCCTCGGACTGGTAGAGGTCGGTGTGGGCATGGGGGCTGCCTGGAATGGGGGACGGGTTGGAAATCCGCCGCAATTGGACAGGTTCACCCAATCCTACCTTATTTCCCTAACAGGGAAGGGGCAGGCGTGTGCATGTTTTGGATGGCATAAAGAGGTTCAGAAAAAAAATCTGACAACCTAGATGGGGAATCAGGAAAGCAAAGAATGAACAGTCAATCCATCAAGCCCTCAGTTCTCGCTGGCTCTGCAGATCACAAGGGTTGTTGGGTGTGGCACACCTCCAGGGGAGGGAAGAAGGGGCAAACTGCCTGGCTGGAAGAAGTTACTGCAAGAAGGCCACTCCCTGGGGACACGCAAGGTTGGGGTGGCTGAGGCCCCAGTAGAGACTATGGACTCCATTGCCTTTATCTGTGCTTGGGTAGGGGGTGGGCTGGAGAGGGTGGGTGGAGGTTGGACATTTACTACTCTTCTATCTCTCTGTGCAACTCCCTGCATGGGGCAACACAAAAAGAAGAGAAACTCAAACCCCATTTTCTTCTCCACCCCTAGGTTCACCTCCAGTAGCAGCTATTGTGGCCTTGAAGTGGCTGAAGACGATCACCTTCCACAGGCTTGCACCCAGGCCCATAGCTCTTCCTTAGCCTGAGTGACTACTCTGTTCCTTGGTCCCTGCTATTGTCAGGGACGGTTGCATGGGCTACGCCAGGAAAGTAGGCTGGGTGACTGCGGGACTGGTGATTGGGGCTGGTGCCTGCTACTGCATTTATAGACTGACCCGGGGAAGAAAACAGAACAAAGAGAAAATGGCTGACAGTGGGCCTGGGGATGTGGATGATGTCGGAGGCTGTCCTGGGGCCAGGTACAATGACTGGTCTGATGATGATGATGACAGCAGTGAGAACAAGGGTATTGTATGGTACCCACCTTGGGCCCGGATTGGGACTGAGGCCGGGACTAGAGCTAGGGCCAGGGCAAGGGCCAGGGCTACCCGGGCTCGTCGGGCAGTTCAGAAACGGGCTTCCCCCAACTCAGATGATACTATTTTGTCCCCTCAAGAGCTACAGAAAGTTCTTTGCTTGGTTGAGATGTCTGAAAAGCCTTATATTCTTGAAGCAGCTTTAATTGCTCTGGGTAACAATGCTGCTTATGCATTTAACAGAGATATTATCCGTGATCTGGGTGGTCTCCCAACTGTTGCAAAGATTCTCAATACTCGGGATCCCATCGTTAAGGAAAAGGCCTTAATTGTCCTGAATAACCTGAGTGTGAATGCTGAAAATCAGCGCAGGCTTAGGATATACATGAATCAAGTGTGTGATGACACGATTACTTCTCGCTTGAACTCATCTGTGCAGCTGGCTGGACTAAGATTACTTACAAATATGACTGTTACTAATGAGTATCAGCACATGCTTGCTAATTCCATTTCAGACTTTTTTCGTTTATTTTCAGCAGGAAATGAAGAAACCAAATTTCAGGTTTTGAAACTCCTTTTGAATTTGGCTGAAAATCCAGCCATGACTAGAGAACTGCTCAGGGCCCAAGTACCATCTTCACTGGGTTCCCTCTTTAATAAGAAGGAGAACAAAGAGGTTATTCTGAAACTTCTGGTCATATTTGAGAACATAAATGACAATTTTAAATGGGAAGAAAATGAACCTACTCAGAATCAATTCAGCGAAGGTTGCCTTTTTTTCTTTTTAAAAGAATTTCAAGTGTGTGCTGATAAGATTCTGGGGATAGAAAGTCACCATGATTTTTTGGTGAAAGTAAAAGTTGGAAAATTCATGGCCAAACTGGCTGAGCATATGTTTCCAAAGGGCCAGGAATAACTTCTTGATTTTGTAGCTTAGAAGCAACACACAAACTGTTCCTTTTCTCTACCTTGTTTATATGGTAAAGGAATCCTTTCAGCTGCCAATCTTGAGTAATGAATATCATATTGTATTATCAATGCTGATATTTATCTGAGTTGGTCTTCAGATCTAAGCTGGATGAATGAATATCACTACCTGTTCTGAAAACATGTTTGTTGCTTTTTATCTCGCTACCTAGATTGAAATATTTTTACCATTTCTTCTGCATAAGTGACAGTGAACCAATTGGTCCTAGTAAAGTCTTTCCTGTCATTGGCATTGATTTCATTTGTGTATCAATAAAGTTGTGTGCTAATGCTGGAAAAAAGAGAAAGAAGAAAGAAAGAAACCATCCTTGTCCTTCTGTTTATAATCTAGTTGGAGAGATAAGAAACATACAAACAAAATAACTGAGGATATCTGGAGCATATACTCATTGTCAAAATGTCCTTCTCAGAGCACAGAGGAAACAAAGGCTTCTGCAGGATACAGTAGTCAGCTACAGATTCATGGGGGAAGCAGCCATTTAAAAGGAGTCCTGAATTAGGGCATTCCATGAGATGGGAGTGAGGGGTGGCTGGTGTGAGAAAGGCATGGAGGTAGGAACTTTCTTCCTATGACACTGAGGAGACTTGTCTGCTTAGAGTGGAGAGTGTAAAGAATGGAAGTAAATAAATTTGGATAGCAGGGTGAAGCCGGTTTGTGGAGAGCTGTTTGAATATTATCCCACTGAACACCAAGAATTACTATATTATTGACTAGAAAGAATACTTGGAATTCACATAAAATTCCCTCTTACCTACTGTGCATTGTCCATGAGGGTGTGGCAAAGTGGACCCTTTCAAGCCTTGTTGGAAGCACAAGGTTTGTGGAGGGCCACCTACAAGGCTGTTCATCTCAGCACTGTCTAAAGTAGAAAAAATTGGAAACAAGTGTCTGGCACATTGGATTGGTTAAAACAATCAAGGAATGTTCACACTATATATGATAAATATGTTGATTCAAATTTATAATCCATATTGCCCAGAAAAGATACTCATCATGCATTGTTAAGTGAGAAAGGTAGGTTAGATAGTGGTGCTCATAGTGTGGTTCCCTTTTTTTTTAATAATAAAACATATTTAAATAGACACTAAAAACTCTGAATTACAGACACCCAAATAGTAACAGTGATTATCTTTGGGTGAATGGATAATTAGTGATCTTTACATGTTTACTTTTTATTCATCATTGTGTTCTTATTTATCTAAAATGAATATTGTTTTTTTAATTAAAAAAAGAAAGTGTTGGGAATGAAGCAGGTGATTGATTGGAACATGTAGTGAGTGGAAAAAATAGATTAAAAATGAGATGGGTTGAAGTTTCCTCTCTGAAATGATGAGTGAAGATGGGGCTGGTGAGGATTAAATGAAGTAATACACGCAAAATACTTAGAATGTTCTGGCACATAGCAGTTAATTAAGAAAAGCAAACACCCTTAATTCCCTAGAATGCAGGGTTTATAGTTTTTTTGGATGACTTTATTTTGCTGGGGGCATTCTGCCATGTGTCAGTGTAATTTAATAAATCATAACAATAAAGGTTAGCATTAAGTGACTACTGTGTAGAGTTCTGTCATTTTTGCAAGGCAACTGTTAAAATAATATTTCAAAGGAGTAAGGTTTTCTTCTTTCTAAGGACTCCAAGTGTTTCCTCAGAGATTATCTCATCAGCCTCCACAACATATTCCAAGGTCATTTGGAGGTGCTATCCTGCTTCATATATAAAACCAGGAAAGCATAAAATCCTCTGTTTAATTATGAGCTGGTTTTAGCCCCAGGCTTCCATATACTTACTCTAATGTTCTTTGTAGTAGACAGAAAACAACAAAGAAACCCAAAACAAACAAACAAACAAACAAACAAACGGACTGGTTGGCTTAAAGTTGTTGGGTATGGTGACCCTACTGAATTATGCACACATGCGGACTCATTTGACACCAGTTTTAAAAGTGGGATGAGGGGAAAGGGAACTAACACTTTTCTTGCTCTATTATCAGGTAGGAGAAAAAGATTTGGGAGAGGAAGTCTAATCCATTGAAATTTGAGTTTGAGGTACCTGTGTGATATCCAGATGGAGACAACCTATTATCATGTGTATTGACCTGGGGCTCAGAGAAGACAAGGCTGCAAATAAAGATTTGGGAGCCATCAGAGAATGAATGATAACAGGACATGGAGTGGATGTGATCCCTAGAGAGAAGGTGCAGAGTGTTTAAGTGGAGGGTTGCAAAAAGAACTGTGTAAAGGACTGTGGCAGCTGGGTAGAGAAGCACAGAATTGAAACAGTATGCACGCTTCCAGTCACTTTTACTATCCATATACCTATATATTCTATACATAAAATTGGACAATACTATAGATACATTTTCAGATCCTGATTTAAAATGTTTCTATTTTTCTCCTAAATAATATTCATTGGAGATGCTTGAGAAAATAGAGACAATGAGAACAAACTTGTCCCCTGACACAGATCTGTAGCTTGAACATCCAAGAAACATTCAGATAAAGCCATGTTGAACTTGGGGTGCTGACTGACTTTAATACATGGGTTGAAAATGAGGTGAACTGAGTAATAAAAAGCCACCACGAGGCAAGGGACAGACGTGATCAGCATCCATCTGCTCTTGCAGGTCTCTTGTCTCCTCCCCTCCTTTCTTCCCAGTCTAGTTCCCTCTCCCTCTCTTGCATTTCTATCTTTATTTCCTCCTTCTGGGAGATAATTGGCAGTAGTGTCTTTGTGTTTCTGTCTTTTGGGGTGACCATTTAATTCCCATGACATTAGGCCATGTGCCAGTGGGCATTTAATACAGAATAGTAATTGTGATTGCTGTGGTACAGTGACCCTCAGTCTGAGTGGATGCCAAGATTTTTTGTAACCTTTGTTGAACAGAGGAGACTGAGAAGGAGCTAGTCTGAGCGTTGCACAGCCCTATGAGCACGTACTTTTGATATCCCCCACCTGGTGTTATTTAAAACCAAACCACCTGGACTTGGGAAGTCCTGTGTGAGAGAAACTTGTGACTGCCTGGTTTACATAGGCCACGAGGCTGGCCAAGCCGCACGATGATGTCCTGATGCTTTCACATTGGAGGTTGCCACTCTCAATCATTTTAGGAAGGCACAGTTCTAGGATTGTGGCCATGATTGCTGCAGGCTCGTGGGAAGAGGGAGGAGGGAAGAGAGGGTGGCTGCTCCTGGAAAATACAGGAAATTAGAAACTCAGAGGCTATCTTGCTATTTTAATCTTGTTTTCATCTAATGGTTGTAGGAATTTAACTGGGTCTATTTCAGTCAAAAGTATTCAAAGCTGATTTTACAAAGTACTGTATTTGCTGGCGTATAAGACGACTGGGCGTATAAGACGACCCCCTAACATTTCCACTCAAAATACAGAGTTTGTTATATACTCGCCGTATAAGACTAC